GAGGAGAGACAGAGAGGAAGATCTTCCGTCCGATGATTCACTCCCCAAGTGAGCACAACGGCCAATGCTATGCCGAGCCGAAGCCAGGAGCCTCTTCTGGGTCTCCCACGCGGGTGCAGGGTCCCAAGGCTTTGGGCCGTCCTCGACTGCTTTCCCAGGCCACAGGCAGGGAGCTGGATGGGAAGCGGGGCAGCTGGGATAGAACCGGCGCCCATATGGGATCCCGGGCGTGCAAGGCGAGGACCTTAACCACTTGCGCCACCACACTGGGCCCTTCTGATGTTTTTGATGTCTCATTTTATTCCTTTCTTTCTTGGGAGTGAGACTTGATTCTATAAGGATTGTTTCTAAAACCCTTCGCTTGCCATGCCTTTTTCATGGGTATGGATTGTTTCTAACGGTGTTTTCCTAGGATTTGTCTTAGGTATCCCAGTCTGGGAAGTCTGTCCTTCCCCAGGCGGAGGAGGCTGTGAGGGAAGGGTTGTGTGGAGAATCTTTGAGTCTGACTATGGTAGATGATTTATTTTGGAGAAAGTCAGACTTGTGGCAATTAACACATGGAAACAAAGCCCAACTTCACATGTGCACCCCATGTCGAATAACACTGCCAGTAAATCTCAAGTTTTAACTATATTAATGTGAAATTTTCATTTATGTAATCAGTCTTAACAAACAAATGTAGGAAAGCAATAGGCTGGCTGGGATTAGCTGTATCCTGCTGTCTCCTTCCAATTGAGTCTTTAAATTTTAGCTGGGACCACGAGGTTAATGGTGATGGCTACCAAGAGAAGCACTTAGGGCTCATCGCCATAGGAACCATTGGCTTTGATTTGACAGGAACAGGCTGTATATTGATGTTGGCAGGGTGTGTCTTTAAAAAGCTAAGGGTTTGACCTCAGGCCGAGTACCAGGTGGCAGCATGTGGTTGGATCTGTCAACCCTTTATCATTCTCAGGGAAAATATCCTAAACCTCTCTAGAACTCAAGCTTTGTTTTCATTAACAGCCCATCACCTTTCCCTCCATTGAGTTGCTCAGTGTCTGTTCAAAATTAGCTATGAGACCCAGTCTGTCCTGGGGACAGAGCCTTCTGAGCAAAAAATCTACTGCACTGGGTGGGTCCCTTGTGCCCAAGTTGCTGGAGATAGTAAATTGAATGGTGACTCCAGTGAATTAGTAAAGATTAAATGTATGGAAATTGTGCTTCTCTTTTTTGGTCAATTTTCTTCTTCATTCAACTCTCTCATATTCCCTGTGTTCTTCCATTGATGTGATATTTTAAAATTTTTTTCAGAACTTGAATATCTATATATGTATATAAAGCGGATAAATTTCACCTATAATGCAATAGTGTTAAGAGCTTAGTGACACTTCCCATCCTGCCCTTCCTCCTGCCAGTATCCCCACACACCTTCTACTTTCCTTATTTCTTTTTCCTTTTCTATTTTTAAAAATAGCATATGTTCATTTTACTTTGCAGTCACAGATTTAACACTCTATTAGGTAAAGATACCACGGCAAGTAGAGCAAAGAAAAACGCCTTCTGTTCTTTTGGACTGTAAACAAAGGCTGTACACAATCATCAAGTCCCAGAATATCACTCACATCTATAGTTTACAGTTTTTGTACTCTGTGCATTAGACGCCTATGTATTACAGATTAAGGAAAATATGATATTTTTCTTTTGGGGACTGATTCATTCTATAGCCATACTACCCCGAACACAACTGATCTTGTTGGAAATGACATTTTAAAAATTGCTTCCTAAGAGTAAAGTTTTGGGACCAGTATTGTAGTGTAGCAAGCCAATCCTCTGCCTGCAGACACCAGCATCCTATGTGGGCACTGGTTTGTGTCTCAGCTGCTCTACTTACGATCCAGCTCCCTGCGTATGGCCTGGGAAAGCAGCAGAGGCTAACTCATGTCCTTGGGTCCATGCATCCACATGCAAAATCCTGAAGGAATTCCTGGATCCTGGCTTCCAGTTGATTCAGCTCTGGCCATTGTGGCCATTTGGGGACTGGGCCAGCAGATGAAAGATCTCTGTTTCTCATTCTCTGTCTTGGTAAAAATCTGCTTTTCAAAAATAATATAAATCTTAAAAAAAGAGGTAATCACCTGTCTGTTAGCTCTACATGCCCAAAAAGCGAATGAGTAACAATACTTACTAGTAGAGATAGTCCTATCTAATTATCCATATCTATATCTATATCTATCTATATAGGAGAAGGTAGAGAAACAGAGGAGGGTGTGTGGTGAGGGAGACTCTCCAGCATTAGCTGGCTCACCTCAAATAGTCCTAAGAGTTGGGGTTGGGTCAGACTGCAGCTGGGAGTAGGGAACTTAGTCCAGCTATCCCACATGGACGGCAGGAACCCAATTACTTGAGCTATCTTTGCTGCCTCCCAGGCACTGTGCCATGGACCATAACTGATGTTTTCACTAAAAGGTTAAATGTCTATCTCCTCCTGCTTATTTTTGGCATGTATTCTTCTGATGCTTTTCCTAAACAATAATATTTTAGTACAGTTGAAAAATTAAGTACATCCAACATCGCTTTTTCTTTGCATCATCATTTGGGAAATTTAAATATTTTCTGTTATTTTGTTTCTTTGCCCAGAGCATTGAAACATTTGATGCCATATTTCAGAGGACACAGAGTATTTAAAGCATTTATGAAGGATTTACATCAAGGTCCATGATAAATCAGGTTTGTGCCTTCCTGGATACAGCACAAATTTTTTAAATTTATCATGATATGTGATGATCATATTGAAGATGATGTCAGTTGAATTTAAGAACACACTCATGTGAATATGTCTGATAAATATATAAAAACCCATCCGCTTGTGAGCCAGGGACACACACGAGGGTTTCTACTGCTCTGCACTTCCTAAGCTGAGAGTCCATCAGTGTCTCTGACAGAAGCTGATTTTTCTGTGAAAAACTAAGAAAACATGGTTATGGACAAGGATGCAAGAGAGCGTGACAGTCCAACGCCAGACTCTTTCATGCCCCTGGTCAGGACAGTACAGGAACACACTGGTCTCTGGCTATCGCCTGCAGCATCTGATTATATTTTAGAGGCCCCCCTCCCATGAATCAACAATTTTAACTTTTGAAAATGAACCCAATCAGAAAAACAGCAATAATCTTTGGAAGAAGAACAGACTAGTAAAATAGTTCGCATCATTCATCTCACATCTCTGCAGAGATAGAAAGCGAGTTAACAAGACCGAGGAAAAAATCAGCAATGTAGAGCAGTCCAATGAAACAAAAATTCAATTTAAGGCTGTCAGAATGTGTAAAATTAAACAAAGACAGAAGCTTAATTTACTTTCAAAGACTTTCACTACCTAATCTGGAGATTTACATAGGAGTTGTCAGATTAGAATAGAATTGATTAAGAATAGAAACAGTGGTATGAACATTTAAAATTTTTTTTTTTTAATTTTTGAGACTGAAACATGAGGAAGATTTTGAATTGTTCATTATTGGCAGAGTGGAATTTTATATTCCACCAAACTTGCAGATACCTTCTAATCTGAGAGCTCCAGCTGTGATGACGGGAAGGATACATGCCTTTGAAGAAATCAGCAGGGCTTTGGCCAGGTTTGGGTAATATCAACAACAGTAAGGTCCCACACTCCATCATACTTTGACTCTTGCTCTGCAGCCTAACCTGGGGTCTAACTGGATTCGGGAAGCTAAATGGATGTTTTGACATTGTTTCGCCCACATGGGGAACAGAAGCGGGATAACAGTGTGCATACACTCCTTCTCCTACTGAGAACCTCCGGCATCTAATTCTACTTTAGTTAGTTGGTTGAAACAGAGGCCAAAAAGATTCTAGCCAATGATCAAGATTACCCTTTTTCCAGGAGCAGAAGAGGACTGGAACACCCAGAAGTCACATGAACACTGCATCGTGGAGCCAGATTCTTTACTCATGAGTATTGCAAAGAATGTCTTCTTCCTGGATGGACATATTGCAGCATAGTCTACAATAGAACATTTTTCAGCTTTGGGAATGCAAGATCTACAGTCAACTCAACAATGTATCAGTGACAGAAAGAAAAGAAGCCAGATGTGGAAGAATGCATACTGACAGATTCCATTTATATAAAAGACGTAACAGATGAAATTAGCAAATGATGTTGGGATGGGAATCATCGACAAAGGAATGAAGTGACAAAGGAGAACTGATGCCACGGTCCTGGTGGTGTTCTGTTTCTTTCACGTTCTGGCTACACGACTGTTCACTGAGATTACATGTACGGTATGTTATATTCTGACATTGTTTTCATAGGAAGATGGCCCTTTTCACAGAGTGAGATAATCAGCAATGTATTTTGGGTAGAGATTCTCCTCTCATGTTCTGTTAGGAAAAGTAAGGATTTTGGAAGCGCATTTCTTTTGTAAATCTTTTCAGAATATGAAATGAGTTGAGAGTCTGACATGATAGCCCAAGTGTCTGAAGTCCTTGCCTTGCATGCACCAGGATACCATATGGACGCCAGTTAATAACTTGCCCGCTCCACTTCTCATGCAGCTCCCTGCTTTTGGCCTGGGAAAGCAGTTGAGAACAACCCAAAGCCTTGGGACCCTGCACTAATGTAGGAGATCTGAAACGAGCTCCTGGCTCCTGGTTTTGAAATGACTCAGCTTTAGCCATTGAGGTCACCTGGGGAGTGAACCAGCGGACGGAAGGTCTTTCTCTCTGTCTCTCCTTCTCTCAATATGCATGCCTTCCTAATAAAAACAAACAAATCTTACATAAAACCAAAAAATGAAATGAGTTGAATTAACAAACAGGACAGGGAAAGACATGAATGTTCAAATCTCCACCTGTTAATTCTATTCAGGGCGTGGAGTGCTCCTCTGCAGAATACCATGCGACTTATCATTATAGAAGCAGATCCACAATCAGCCCCTTACTTCTATTTGGAAATGCACTTTTTAAGGCTAGAAGAATGACACAGAGGCTTAGCAAGTAACAGGCTCAAAATTTCAGTTTATTATCAAAATATTTCCATCAGATGACAAACCTGAAAAGGCAAGGGATGTGGCGCTACATAGATGCAATTTTGTATTTTGATCATAGTCACCTCCAGGGATAGATTCAATTTTGAAAATCTTGCTTGCAAACCACAAGTATTATCTATCTCCAGACAACTGTCCAATGACAATTACTTACCCCAGCATTTGTTATTAAAGCTTTTCACCAATATGATTTATAAGTTTAAGAAGTCTCAAATGTTTATTTCTAGAAGATTTTACAGATCTTTTTAAGTACAGGTTGTTCAAAACTGTTTGTCTTGTCTGAAATGTTTATATCCAACAGTTACCTATAATAACAGCAACTTATCCATAAATGTAGTAGTAATTAAATATAAAAGTTATTTACACATTACTACAAATCTCTTAAAAAAAACCAAATGGGTTGTGTGAGTGAGTGTGTGTGTGTGTGTGTGTGCGTGTGTGTGTAAGAGAGAGACAACAGGCAGGAAATTGCTTACAAAATTGCAGGGGCCCTCAGGAACTTCAGCTATCTGAAATAACATTAATATTCAAAAGTAATAACCACTTTAGATGTTCAGTCTTGCTGAGATAGTATTTAAAAATGTTGTGATTACAGAATGAGTAGCTGATGTGTGGCAAAATAAGTTTAAAACTATCTAAGCCCTGAGGCTCTAACACGTATAACAATTCTTTGGAAGGGTTTGAAAGAACATGGAAATTGCAAACAAAAGTAAAAGCAAGTTCATAGGCAGTGTTTCTTAAAAGTCATGCGACCACTGTGTTTTGATATGCAATCATAATTTTTAACATCTCCTCTTTCTCCATCTGACTGGGAATTTTGATCGACTCTGCTTTCTGGGAATAGCATCACACTGGCATATAACATGAGACATGAAACCGAACAGTAATATTATCTGAAGAAACTAAATACCCCTTGAGAAGTGATTGGCTTCATAGACATTTCTGGCCCTCTCATCCCTGCACATCCTTTCCAGAATACCCCAATTTCATCTATATTCTGATGCTCTCATTTTCTGAGTTACTCCCAAGTAACCATGGTGACTTCTGGCACCCATTTCTCCAGGAAGGTGAGATCCCCATTTCGGAAGTGTTGCAAGTCTAATTCTGCTTCTTTTGTAGATCACCAAACTCGACATTTCTTTTCTGGATTCATGTATGAGTTCTTCGGGCAGTTAAAGGCTTCTGAAAACTCAACGGAGTTCTGCAAACATCCAATAATCCTTTGAAACAGATTAAAAAAAAACATAGTCACCACCAGCATTTGATACCATGTTCAAAACACTGCAGCCCTGTAGAATTTCTGAATATAGGCCATGTGAATGAATTTGGATTTTAAATTTTAAAGGAAAAAAAAAACCCTACAAACCAACCATATTCACCTAAAGTGGGAAGGAAGGGCCTGGAAACAAGCTTCCAGGAGTGGAGGGAAAATCGGGAATAAGTGACAGGAGGGGACATTCTGACATAGACATTCCCATACATGACAGGTATGCCCCTCGGTATTCACTTTAGCACTTCTCTCCCTCTGCCCAATCTCTAGGAAGAAAAATAACATTGAAAGTTTAAATAATATTCAATAATCCTCTGGCTTAAATCCACACAGGGGCTTAAAGGAAATTCAGAGTCCACTTCATGATCTAAACATCCTGGTAGTCCCCGTCAATTGTCCCAGTGTCCACAGGACACATTTCTGCTATTTCTCGGGCTCAAAGTCTGCTGACGTGCCTTCTGATACTCAACCTGGCCAAGTCCTTTCCCCCTTTGGGTTCTAGCTATTCGTGGTTTTTTGTGCTTCCAGATGAACTTTTGAATCATTGTGTCCAGTTCTGTGAAGAATGTTTTGGGCAATTTGATTGGTATTGCGTTGAAAATATATATTGCTTTTGGTAGTATAGACATTTTAATGATATTGATTTTGCCTATCTAGGAGCATGGGATGTTATTCCATCTTTTGAGGTCCTGTTCAATTTCTTTTTTGACTAGTTTGCAGTTTTCTTCGAATAGGTCTCCTACACTTTTGGTTAGATTTATTCCCAGATACTTCATACTTTTCTCTACTATTTTGAATGGTATCTTGCTGGTTAGATCTTTTTCCATCTTGGGGCTGTTTGTGTACACTATGGCTGTTGATTTTCGTTCATTAATTTTGTACCCTGCCACTCTGCCAAACTCTCGTATAAGTTCTAGTAGTTTCTGTATTGAGTCTCCTGGTTTTTCTATGTATAGGATTATGTCATCTGCATATAGTGAAAGCTTGACTTCTTCGTTTCCTATACGTATGCCTTTGACTTCTTTTTCTTGTCTTATGGCCTCTGCAAGTACCTCTAGGACTATGTTGAATAGCAGTGGTGATAGTGGGCATCCTTGTCTTGTTCCAGATCTCAGCGGGAAGGGTTCTAGCTTTTCTCCATTCAGTATGATACTGGCGTTGGGTTTTTCATAAATTGCTTTGATTATGCTGTGGATTTTTCCATCTATACCTACCTTGGTTAGAGTTTTTAGCATGAAGAGGTGTTGGATTTTATCGAAAGCTTTTTCTGCATCTATTGATACTACTATGTGGTTCTTGTTTTTCAGTTTTTGGATGTGGTGTATCACATTTATGGATTTCTGAATGTTGAACCATCCCTGCATTCCAGGGATGAATCCTACTTGATCCGGATGAATGATCTGCCTGATGATTTTTTTAAATTCTATTGGCTAGGATTTTGTTGAGAATTTTAGCATCAATGTTCATCAGAGAGCTAGGTCTATAGTTTTCCTTCTCTGATGGTTCTCTATCTGGTTTTGGGATTAAGGTGATGTTGGCTTCATAGAATGAGTTTGGAACCTGACAACTTTTATCACTTCCTTTGAAACAAGAGGAACTATCGTTTTCCTGAAAAGCCCACCAACTTTTTCCATTAATTAATTCTTATGATTCATTTAAAGCGGTCACATTGATAGGCCATTGTTTCCATTACATATTCATAAAGAAATAAATCCTTGAATAAATTCCTAAGCGTGTTCTCCAGATTAACAGATGTTAACAGGAACTGTATAATGTTTACTACCTCCATACTGATATTTATGTAAAGTATTAGGACACAGTTTTAATGCTTAAGGTAAATGGAGAAAATATCAGTATTTCAGAAGGGTAAGCATAAGCATGCTAAGTTACATAAATGCCTACACAACACAAGAAAGAATATTCTTTCAAAGGTATCAGAAATTTAGCTCTTAGAAATGTTTCTGGCCATTATGATAATCTTCCATGAAACACTCCCTTCTTTGTTGAGCATCTAAATAATTTTTTCTGGTTCATTTAAAAAATGTATCAGACTCTTGCAATATCACAGTGGTTGTGGATGGTTAGCCAAATTGGGGTTCCTGTAAAAGTAATTATGGATCCAATTTCTAGAATCTTACAGAGGAAATGGTTTTTGTTGTTGCTTTACATACAAAAGAATTAAAAGTTTATTTTAAAGCATATGAGGATGAGTAAAATGGTTACAAGTTAGATAAAAACATAGTGTTACAGTTTTAATATGGTTCAAGTACAATTCACCTTGTTTTAATGCTCTGGCTATCTAAGTAAGCAGAAGTTATTTGTTTTCCTATGCTTCAGAAATATTTTTACATGAAAGATCAAGCCAAATTTTTCAATAATAACTCAGTTTCTATTGGCTTTTAATGATCTTTTAAGCTTTATTTTTCTATAGTCAGGAAGCAGTCCATTTCCAAAATTAAATGTAACCTTAACCATTTGCCAAGGAAATCCCTTTACCTCCAGAGAAAATAATAATTTCCTTGACAAACAGTTGGCATTCCATTAACCCTCAGAAACATCCATATCCACACACTATTCTTCTTATGAATGAAAAAGAGCCAGAGTCATCTTTAGAACGAGGACAAAAGAAAATTAAAGATCTAAATGATTTCATGTATTTACAGTAAAATACTGTGATTCCAAATTGGGAAAATCAAAGTAACAGATAACTCTCTGATCCTTTTAAATGACTTATTTATTTGAAAAGCAGAGTGAAAGAGGGAGATACAGGAAAAGCAAGAGGTTTTCTGTCGTTGGTTCTATGTCCTAGCAGGCACTGGACCTGGCTGAAACCAGGAGCCTGCAATTCTACTAGGTTCTCCCACCTAACAGTCTAAGTACTTAGGTTAACTTCCATTGCACTCCCAGACGAACTAGCAGGGAGCAGGTTGGAAGTGGAGCAGCAGCTGAGACTCAAATGGGTGCTGATGTGGGCTACTGGACATTTCAGGCAGGGGTTTAATCTTCACATCACAGCACAAGTTCTAACCTATATATCTCGTTCAGTAGCAAGCATTTACTGACATTCTGGATTATGCAGAATATTAAAAATGAGCAATAAAAAGCCTTTGCTTCTTAGATGATAGGGAAGTGTGTCAAAAATATTAACTCTTTTCCACAGGAATCCTTAATCTTCTCATATAGTTTATATTTCCACATATGTAGACATGGGCACTTTTAAAAGGTTTACAGTTGATCTAGCAGTTAAGACGAGAGTGCCCAGTTAGAGTTCTTGCTGTGACGCAGATTCCAAGTTTGTGTTAATGCATGCCCTGGGCAGTGGCTGATGGCAGTTCAAGTGGGTGAGTCCCTGCTACCTAAATAGGAGACCTGGATTGAGTTCCAAGCTCACAACTTCAGCTTGGTCAATCTCTGGCTTTGAGACTATTTAAGGAGTAAGCCAAAATGGCAGCTCCCACTTTGTGTCAAGTAACTAATATAAATGCTTTTCTCTAAAAAGCATTTTTTTTTGTACAAAAATGTTTTGAACTGCATGCTCTGATGAGTTTTTGAAAAGTACATGGAGCTGTGCTATGAATTCTGTACACAGATATCAATTTTTTTCTGCCCTAAAATCAGTTATCTCTTAATTCAACTTTCCACTGAATTTTTGGAGGTTATCCTGTAAGTAATAGGAACTTGACTTGCCTTAACATTAATCCCCCTGCAACTCATAACTTAATTCTCATTTTACACATCCAAAAAATGGGTCATAGTGATTAAGTAATAGCTGGTCAATGATGGAGTCTTTGGTGGAACTCAAGTGTTTTTAACCTTGAAATGTGTTGTCTTTTACGGTACTAAGGTAATGATACATTTTCTGAACTGATCCAAATGGAGGAATGGGATGGCTTCCAGTAGGCAATACAGTAACAGGAAATAGAAAGAGAAGAGACAAATGTATAGAAAAACCAAAATGAGAAGTCAAAAAGTATCACCATGAGTGTGGGAGCTTTGAATGATTTCAATGAAATAATAAATAATAAAATCATGCCTAATAACCATAACAATAATCTGTATGTTCAAAAAAGTCTAGGTTTTTATCCAAAATAGAATGCTAAGGTAGGAGGCACAAAATGTATGTCAGCAAAGAAGTTTACATCCAGTAAATAAAATAAAAATGTCAATGCTGGAAAGATACAAACTTACCAAATAATTTTGCAACCCCTTCTTTTCCAAGGACCTATTTGTGTAAGTTATTACCATAATATCCCTTAAATTTACCTAGGTTTCTATGGACAGTAACTGGAGATATATAAAGCAAGATTTTGGCAAGTTAAACTGTATGGTGGCTTGTGTAAATTTATAGATGTGCTGTGTTATTCTCAGAATTAAATGCTTATTTTTAACTTTGGGACTTAAGTGAGAAAAAAAGATAAGTTTTATAAATTTAAATTGGAAGTTTCTTGAATAAATCATAATGGGAAGTAGTTTAGTGCTTCCTGTTGCTCATTACTTAAAAAGCAATTAATTTTGATAACCTTAGCAGTCTTAATTTAGCTAATATTACATAGATAACTGGCATAAGATAAACAGTGGTTAAGAGATCCAGAAGGGAAATTCAGAGGGTGACAATAACAATGACAAAATCGACACTAGATCAGAGCACGTTCTTCAGCTTTTAATGTGCCATGTTATTATTTCATAATTGAATGGTTTAGCTGAAAAGTAAACTCACATTTTTTAGGAAAAGCTTTTAAATTGAACCCATTAGTCATCTCTGAATCTCACACTGCAGCTTTCAATCACCCTACACATTTTTTCAAAAGATTTTTTCCAGATGTTCCATGCTTGAAGGGCTTTTTTGATCAATGAGTGGCTAAGTGTTATAGTACATGGAGAAAAGACAGTATTATAAAGTCAATTCAAAAACACAGCTACACACAGAGGCAGGATTTCAAAGGTTGGTTAAAGTGATTAATTTTTCAAGCTATTGCTCTCAGATTTTCTATCTTAGGAATCACACAGGCAGGTGTTTTCTAAATCTATCTTTCACTCTATAGTATTTGCTCTAGTATGCTTGACAATCTGTTTTCTCATGTGTATTTCAATGCGCTGTGTCCTGGCACTTTGTCATGCCATCTAGCAGAATCTCCGATGAACAGGTTTCTTTTCACAGCGAATGAAATCTTTGCAATCCAGTACCCACTGATCTAGGACTAAACTATTCATAACCTCTTGGAAAAGTCTCCTGCCACCTTTCTACAGAACCACTGGCCTGAAGCAACATCTTTGCTGGAATCCTTTTCATACTGTCTGTGACACATGTATCCTTGAGAGAACAGCTCAGGCTGCTTCAGCAAAGATTACTCTGATACATTTTGGTGATCCTACATATGATCCTGAAAAACTATTGGACCAAACAAAAGTACTGATTTTCCAAATGCTACAGGATTAGAATTAGAAAAGACCAATCAAAATTGAGTGGGGAAGCAACGGAGCCAATTTGAAGCACCCTGATTGCTCTTCATACTTAACACACCTGAAATGTCCTGGACTGTGCACGTCTGTTTTAATGGAATTGACTGCAAATTCTGGTCTGTACGTCCCACACCACACCTATGGATGGGAATAGAAAAAAAAAAGCAATCCAGGATTATTTGGGAAGATTAAGGGAAAACTTGAAATTCTGTATTTGTCAAACACTGACTCTTCAAATAATATTCAACCATAGGCAACCAGAACCATAATTGGTTATCATTAATGTAATCTGACAGTTCATTATTAACAATGTAAGTTAGTCAAGTCAAATGCTCTGCCACAATGGATTAAAACAAGAAACCTCACCAAGCAGCTGCTAACTTACTGTGAAATTATAACCGAAAATCAATTTCCTATTATTCTATAAAGAAAGATGTGTTACCTGTGCAAAGTTCAAGAAGAACAGTTGCTTATGATTTAAGTCAATTCCAGGAAGTAATTTTTCTTCACCATTCTTTTTAACATAATTCTGATAGGCCTGGGTAATGAATGAAACAGAAACACAACGTGTATGATTTCTAAATGCATATATAAACCTATGTAAAAGGCAACATAGCCCAATAATTAATCTTTAATATCAACATAATTATACTAATATATTCAAGGCAGCCTGAAACTACCATAGCTTACTTACAAGTGCTCTGAAAGGAACATGATACTCACCAGTAGAGAACAACAGTGTCCAGCACATGTCAGACAATCAATAAGTATCAATTGACTGCATTAATCACTTACATGACTTAGGAACTAATCTAAGCATCCTCCACAGATAGCAGGATAAGCTCAGCCAGTTGGACAAATGGATTGCCAAGAGAGTCTGTGATTGCTATATTTAACTTGGTTGCTACTCTTAGCAAAATAGACTTTCATCCGACCTAAGGTTTGAGTGATCTTTGTCAAAAGTCAGGGTATTTTCTTGAGATTCTTTAGACGGCCTGTAGCCCAAGAGACTAAGTATAAGAGTTAAAAGGTTAGAAGCTATTTTGGTCCCTTGAAGACAAGACAAAATGAATTGAACTTCAATTACACAAAGAGTTAAGAATTTAAGTAAATTGGATGTCAGAAAATGTTCTCTTATATTTAAGAAAGTCATTAACTTTTGAGGTGTTTTCTTTCCAATTTAACAATAGCTGATGATCCAATTAGACAAGCATATATATATATATATATATATATATGTATTTATATATATTCTGTTTACTGTCAGCATAAATGTACTGGGTCTTTAGTCTAAAAGTTCTGGGGATCTGAGGAATGTTTTTACCTCTCTCTCTAGCAGGAGGGAAAGGCATTACATGTCCTGAATTCACGTATTTTCAAGGTGCAATTGCAATTCTTATTACCATGCTGAGCTTGCCCTAGAAGCATATCTCCATGGAAATAGCATCAACCCACATTTGGGTTGAGTTTTCACAGCAGTGATTCTCAATCTGGCTGTGTATTAGAATCACCATGGAATACTAAGAGTGACAATGCACTTGATTTCCAGCTAAGATAGTGACAGGGTCTGGATTTAACCTTCTGCTCAACGTCCAACCAATGGGCAAAATATATCAAACACTGATTCCTATAACACAGTATGTCAAGTCAACAAGGGGAATGATCCTCCAGAGGCCATAACTAAGGAGAGTCCTATGATCCCCACAATGGATTGCCTTGAGGGATCAGGTTACAATGTGAGATGCAGAAACCCAGCTGGAAACAAGAGGGTGGGCATTGAGGTTCTAAGGTCAGGGTACTGTGCAAGAGAAAGTTGCTCAGAAAGAAAATATCAGCAGTTACACATGGTTACTCTCAACTACCCAGCTTAAAACAGATTATAGTCTGGGGTGTACGTGTGTGTGTGTGTGTGAGAGAGAGAGAGAGAGAGAGAGAGAGAGAGCGAGCGAGCGAGAGAGAGCAAACTGTTCAGTTCCACAGAGGGAAACACCCAAAACAGTAGGGGCAAAAAATGTTCAGGACTCACTAAGACAAGTTTGGAAAACCTCCAGATGGGCACAGCAGAGACCTGCTTTAGCACTGGGGAATAACCTCCCCAAGACTGTGCATTGTCCCGGTCCTGTTTAACAAGTTATGAAACAAAGATCCAAATGGAGTGAAACAGAGTCCTTCAGTGCAAAAATGAAGACAATTGTCAGGAAAACAAGCATGTCCACTGAAAGGACATTTGGCCTACTGGTTAAGATGCCAGTTAAGACTCCCCATCCTTTATCAGAGTGCTTGAGTTTGAGTTCTGACTGTGGTTCCCAATTCAAGTTTCCTGCTGAGATAGATCTTGGAACACAACAGTGATGGCCAAATAATTAGGGCCCTGCAAGCAGAGGGAGACTTGGATTGAGTCCTTGGCTCCCGGCTTGGACCTGGTCTGGCCCTGGCTGTTGAAGAATTTTAACTGGAGGATGAAAAATCTCTCTGCCTGTTTGTTATGAAATAAATAGACAAAATTTTAAAATAAAACAATATCAGCACCAGCAAAAAGTCCAAACACTAATACACAATAAAGAGAGAAAACTAGGGCCCAGCACAATTGCTAAAGTCCTTGCCTTGTATGATGAGTCAGGATTCCATATGGGCAACGGTTCTTTTCCCCGTTAGCCACACTTCCCATCCAGTTCCCTGCTTATGGCCTGGGAAAAACAGTCAAGGACTGCCCAAAGGCCCAAAGCCTTGGGACCCTGCACCCACATGGGAGACACAGAAGTTCCTGTCACCTGGCTTCAGATTGACTCATGTGTGGCTGTTGCAGCCACTTGGGGAGTGAATCAGCAGATGGAAGATCTTCCTCTCTATCTCTCTTCCTCTCTTTATCTGCCTGCCAATAAAAATAAATAAATCTTAAAAACAAAAGACAAAGCTGTCAAGCAAAGGATCGACCATCTACTATTTCCTGAACTTGTTCTGGACTCTGAGAAACTTTGTAGCTGGCTTAATCTGCTAGACCTTATATTTGGATCACCTTTGATTGATCACTGCCACTTATAAGCCCTGCCAGTTACCTCTCCTGATCTTGCTTAGGTGCTTCTCTTCCCTGAGCTAACTACAAATGTCCCCCTTCTCTCTAAGCCAGGCATTTATTTCCATGGTGACCAGACAATGCTGTGCCATTATGTTCTTCACAAACATTTCATCAATACTTGTCTTAGAGAAGCCTTGTTCCCATGTGGCGACATCTCCTTTGCACCATTTTCCAGGATACTCTCCTTAATTTTCCTACATGTGAACCAGTTCAGGATTGAGAGAAGCACTCAGAATTACTCTCACTTGTTGTCGCTCCCAAGATTATTATTCTTTCACACCAGTGTGAGAATCCCTACTTTTTCTTGAGCACAGGGCATATACTATGTTTAATCCTTGCTCACATTATCAAATAACAAGCTTGTTTTGTGGAAGGTTCATGGCTCTAACTTTACATCTAGAATAGTACAAAAGCACACAGTATACCCTCTGTTGAATGCAAAGTGAAGTGACATTCTAAGGGATGCTCCAGTGACAACACTCCTGTGTTGTAATAGTACGGTTGACAATAATGAACTATGCTAGATTCATGTCTCTTCAGTCTCTCGTTAAATCTCTGAACATGGACTGTGGCTTCCCATCATGTCTGTATTTATGTTCTGGCTATTGGTCTCAAATGCTGCTTTATTTGCTACAAAGCTAACAGAGTTTTAAAAATTTCACTATACTGATAGATGACACAGATATAATCCTTCCTGGGCATCCCTTCTTAAAACATTTCTGCTGTTATTTCTTAGAAAAACATGTCTTCAGAGGGAAAGGCATTCCATGCGTCCTCTTTGTGTATTTGAAACCCGAGAGTTTGAGGCTCAACTCTATCACATCAACTGTACTTTCAAACTTCCTTCTCTTCACATATTTTTCATTCCCTATTAATCATTTACTGTTTATATTTTCTATACCTTTTACACAATATAATGTAAAACTCAACCACAAAAATGGGAAGAAAATATGACTTACCCTGTATGCTTGGCCAATGCCTCCATTATCAGCGATGTTTTCGCCCAGTGTATTAATTCCATTGAGCTGTTTAAAATAGGAGTCTATATTAGCATAATTCTAAGCTTGGGTACACTTAATTTTTTTTCGAGAAAATAGTAATTCCTTACATGTTCTCCACCTGCTAGATCCCAGGAGAAGTTTCCATACTGGTAAACCATGCACTGGGATTGTTCTTTAAAATTATTTGCTGACTGTTGAGTCCACCAGTCAACAAGGTCTCCATCCTTATTAAAGTTTCTGCCTGTAATGCATTTAGTTAAGTAAGATGAGTGCTTGTAACAACAGCATTACAATAAAGTATATTTAATCAAAGTGCAAGCATTGAAATGATGATGTGTGTGGGAACATTACATTGTACAGGTGAAGAGAACCTGTCATCCTTTCTGAAGCACAGAACTGGTGAGCTAACCGTGGTTTGCCAGAGCTTTCTCTGCTCGTGTGCCTTAGCGTTGACCCAGATTGGTCACTTGTCTCCTGATACCAAGGAGGAAGAAACTAGGTTAAATACTCATAAAACCATGTGTGATTTCATTGGATGATGTTCACATGACTAAGCTGTTTAATCTGAGATTTTCTGATGTAAAAATTCAGGCATTTTAATTTGAGCATTCATTTCATATTTCCAGACTTTTCTGGAGACCCTGTGGGCTTACAATTTCAAATATAAAAAATGAAAATATTTCTTTTTCTCCTGGTTTTAGTGTCAACCCTAATCCATCTCCAGTGTCATATGTGTTGACATTTTTATCTTTCTTAATATTTGTCTATGAAGAAGTGAATAAGAAAATCTATGAAGTTAACTTACTTGGACTTACATACTGACTTCACAGTTTGGGAATTGTAACTTCAAGCTAGTTATTTATTCATTCATTTATTTACTTATTCTTCCATTTGGAAAATTGAAATAGTATGAGTTCTTGTGTGTTAAGATTGCTACATAGTTTAATTGAATAGACAATTACTGAATCTTTTTTAGAAGTGTACCTTTCTTGATTCCTTTCCTTTCCCTTCCTCCCTAAAGCTGGGACTAGCTAACATACTCCTATTTTCTCACTGTTCTATTCTTACTTTCCTTCTACATGTGAACTGATCTTTCTCATAGCTTTAACTATCACTTCTTGACACACATTCTCTATTCCTCGCAGTGAAATCAAGTTTGCCATACAGGGTCATATATAAACACATAATGGCCTATTATTTGCACAGATATGTAGTAAATTAAGGTGGAAAAACAAAAGCCCCTGCCTTTCAGCATCTTATAAATCCTACAGGTACTTAGATATGCAATATTTACTGACCTAATCCCTGTCCTCTAAGAAGTCTGGTAAGAGAAGACATACACAATTATAAAGTAACACCAAGCATTTTCGCTGGTGTTGACAGATATCACAGTATTTTTTCAGTGCTAATATTTGCTTTATTCTGTATGCGTATGAACCGCAGATGCTTTTCCTAACTCTAAGGAATATTCTGAAGAGACAGAATAAAGGGAACAATAAGGAAGGGGATCTTTAGTTCAGGTGCCTCCAGCCCACACCAGAGTGTTTGCTGGATTTCTGGCTTCAGGTTCGCACTCAGCTCTTGCTGATGTGGACTCTGTCCTGCAATGCTCATAACTCAAACATTTAGGCTTTTGTGACCCACAGGGAAGTCCTGGAATGAATGTGTCCTGGTTTCTGAGTTCTGGTCTCAGCCCAGCCTTTGCTATTGTGGCTACCTGGGGAATGATTGAGCAGAATGGAGCTCTCTGTTTCTTAAATAAATACATTTAAAAAAAACCAGTTTGAATATTAGATTGACGATATGCTGACTAACAATTGGAAATTTTGTATTGATAAACTATAATAACTGTGATCAAATCTGTGAGTCTATATCAGTCAAAGGAGAATGTCAAGGGCATTTTACCAGTATCATCGAAGCCATGAGTGATTTCATGTCCTATGACCATGCCGATGCCCCCATAGTTCAATGAGTTGGACTGATGGGCACTAAAGAAGGGAGGCTGAAGGATGCCAGCTGGGAATACTACGAGGAAAGAAGATGGTCAGAAATTATTTGAGGCATGATTTTGTGAGAACAAGCTTAGGGCTATCTTCCTGGTTGCTAAGCTCTTTTCTAGCATGAAAATTTCATTTGCGCATATACAAAAATAGATGGAAACAAACAGGTCTTTTGTTACTGATGAAAACAACATATGATCATTAAGTATGATTTATTAATCTAATTCACCTTACAAGCTCTTTTTAAAATTGTTTTCTTGTTGTGAAATGTTTAGAATGAGGCAAATTTATAATATTCGTTTAGAAATCCCTCCCCACCTATAAATACTTGGGAAACACGGTTAATAACACAAGTATTTTCATATTTCTCTAAAATGTATTATCATCTACAATAGCATTTTAAGGAAGCAGAATAGCTTGATGAAAAGCACATAATTTTTCTTATTTGCATCCAGATACTTATGACTACCTTATGTTTCTTTATTTCTCAGTTTACTGCTGGAATTCTTCTATTTTCTCTTCTATTCCTATCCCAGCACCTCAAATATTGGCCTTTTGGAAGCAGAGAGCTCTATATCTGTACATGCATTTATTTGCTTTCAAATCTATTTGGTTCCTTTCAGGTCACTATTTCCAGATCCTAAAACTAAAACAACACTGGAGCATAATTAGCACTCAAGAAGTGTTGCCTAGGTAAATCATCAATGGCCAATGAATAAATGTTTAATTTACTAAAATACATACAATATATTCTCAAAACATGGAAATGCACTCATAACATGCTTTCATTCTCTTCCTCTAGAAAAAAAATTTTTCTCCTGTTAAATAATAAAAATTTAAAAAACAAAGATAATCATTTCGGGGATATGTTGATAATCAGTTCGGGGATATGAGAGGTGGTTAATCTTTGACCTTACAAAGAGATAGCAGAGCCCATGTTACAGTCAACAGGGAAAGATGCCACCTCTGATGACATCAGCATCATCTCATTGGAGCATCAGTTGCTCCACCTTCTACCCAGCTCCCTATCACTGAGCCTGGGAAAGCAGTGGTAAATGGCCCAAGCACTTGGCTCCCTGCATTTATGGGAGAACAGGATGGTTGCAGATCTAGGCTTCAGCCTGGCCCATCTCCAGTCCTTGAGGTCATTTGGGGAGATGGAAAATCTTGCTCCTCTTCTCTGTGTCCCTTCTTTCCCTGTAAATCTGTTACGATGCCTCTCAAACAATCTTCTGAAAAAGAAATTAAAAATGATGCTGATGGAATCCTGATTTTATCTTTTGTATTTTAAAAGTACTGTATCATAAAAAAAGTAGTGTATCATATTCATTGATGAAGTAAAATATGTTCTGTAATCAAAACGTCTTTCAAATTGACACTCATGTTAAAAAGTCCTGGGCCATTTCTAAGTGAGATTCCAATAATTTAAGAAAACGGTACTGATCTTAAGACTTTCTAAATATGGTTAACAACCTGTAGCAGATTTAAAAAAATACTTGTAACATTAGAGAATTTTGATGAAAGTCATACCTCACATGTAACTGCCTGAGCTTAAACAGTGCCAAGAAATTATTTTTAGCCTAAAGCATAAAAAATCATGGGCAGTTTTATTAACTTAAAGTGAGCACTATCTCCCACACTGTGTACTTTGATTAAAATCCACCCATTATATAAAATGTTCTTACAAAATGTGCTATCAAAACTAAAAATTAACTGTAAAGATCCTGCTGATTTAATTATACCCTGATATGTTCTTCTTTGGGCAAGTGATAATTTTTATGGTGAATATGAAATACTAGCTTTCAAATTCAACTTCACAAGTTATGGTTCCCCTTATTTTGTCAGCCACATCTCTGCAATGAGGTTCCCACATATCAACCTTGCTAATGTCATTAGTCAACCTCGCAAGGGTTGTTTATAACAAACTCCCTGGTTGAAGATTTTTTATGTTCATGATTGTCAACAAGTTAATTAAAAAGTCATTAGTCCATGAAACAAAAGATTGTGCCTTTCTCTGAACTCCCCACTCTTACAACATTCTTTATTTTTTTAAGGCCACAAGTGTTCTGATTTCAGCATATTTCTTGTAAATTTCAAGTTATCAATTGCTTTTTTCTTGGAAAGTTGACATTATTTTATATTGAATTTAGTAGCAACATATTTGGAAACATTTACTTCTAGTTTTCGAGTCTCAAAATACAACTCTATGATTGACATACGTCATCACAAATTTTCACCATCTCAAGTATTCATAGATCCCATAAGTTGAATACACCATATAGTCTGAAAACTGATACAAATGTTTATAAGGTTTCTAGTGCAATATTTATGACAAAGAAGGATACAACATTAACTAAGGTGACATCTGGTTGCTAATTTTCCTAGGATGTTAGTTGAAGGTTAAGTGAGATGATTAAATCCTGCCTGGATAAAGCAGTCAAGTGTGGCTTTCCTAGCAGTATGACCGAAGGTCTCCAGGACTATGTACAGCAACTGTGTAAGAAAGAGGAACAACGAATTGGACACACATGGTGCCCTTCTTGCCCTAGAAAATGTTTATGTTCCCAGGAAGGTGGGGGATGTCACAAATTGAAAGGCAGTTGTCAAAATTCAATTCTGACAAAAGAAAAAAATAGCGGAGCTTTGAGTAAGGAGGCAGAAATTATTGACGTATGTAAATCCCTGAATGGCAATACAATGAGCTTTTTTTTTTTAAAGAAAATAGTATGAAATAACCAATCCTATGTTAAATGGTTAATGATCCATTTTGGAATATGTTAATATCTGTTGGGTGAGGGTTATTTATGAGGAACATGCTGTTATATTCAAACTCTTAAGTTTACAATGACTCTCATGCAAATCCTTTTAAGATAGTGTCTCGAAGGCTACATGTGTGCCTAGGGACGTGTGTGCCTACTCACGAACACAAATTCCCATCAACAGAGAAGATGAGGATTTGAACGTTCCATTATGTTCACTCATGACAATCTTCACTTTGAGGATTTAAATGGAATTGTCAAGGAGTAAAAGTGAACACTTCAAAGACTTCTCCTGCGTGACATTTTCCTCTTTCTTGAACTGCTATTATTAGCAGAAAAGCATATGAAAAATAGGTTAATAGGTTTTCTTACTTGATTCCATTAGATGAATTTATGTAGAGAATTTTTTTTAAAAGTCTTATACAATACACTATTCTTTATAGCAACTTTTTATTATTGCAAAGATAATCAGGCATCTTTTCACATATTAGGGCACCTCACTTTCTCATTTGTTGTGTCTTCTTTGGTTTGAGACTCTTCAATGAGAACAATCTCAGGTCTTTTTTGCTCAGGGAAAAGCTGAAGTGAATCAGTTTTGAGCCATCTTCAGAGTCTTAGATAACCAAAAGTTCAATGTGATAGCACAGCAGAAATGCCTGAATCTGCACTAGAGAAGCGCAGAGGGGTCAACACGCCAATTACCCTGCAGGGTATCTTACAGCTCTTAGGTCAGCACCAGGGCTCATAGGAGCCAGGATCTGCCACTCCAGCTCCTTGTCTGCCCAGGCTATATTCCTAGGTCTGCATTGGGATTACACTGTAAGTTAATGAGTTGAATAGAATTCAATGTGAAATGAACTAGATCTTACTGTATTAGAAATCCTATGAAAAAGAGGTCTTCACAGGGAAGATCTTTCAGAAATAAGGTGTGTTTTTAGGATTGAGTGCATGGGTTCTGAGGTGATCATTAAGCAGGTTGTGTCTGGCCTTAGGTAATTATTTCCTGTGTTGAAATGCATATTAGCTTAGACTCTGAGCTGATTCTAACTTCCGTGCACATGTTTTACTTACTAGCTATATGCTATATAGATTTATATGTAGACAACATTTTCTGGTTATATTGTGAATTAAATTTTCATGTCATGTATCAGAGTAAACCCAAAAAGGACTAAACTTTTATTCTGAAATTAGAAACCATTTCAGAGTAATATATAAGAAATTCAGACAATTTTTTAACCGAAGCAAAGAAGGACTGACCTAGTGCCTGGGCTCCTGAATCCACTGAGAGACCAGGATGAAGTTCCTGGCTCCTGGCTTGGGCTGACCCCACTCTGACTATTGTAACCATTTGGGGAATGAATCAGCTGATGAAAAATCTCTCTTTATCCTCCCTTCTCTTTTTATGACTACTTTTTAAATAAATAAATACATTTTTAAAAAAAATCTTTAAAAATAAGAAAAGGCAAAGTAAAATTTATAATAAAAGTAATGTTTTTAAGATGTGTTTTACTCAATGATCAATATCTTCCAATGTTTCATAGCTGCTAATGGAATTTGTAACTAAATTGAACAAAAGTGAGGCTCAAGAAGACTCAGACAAAAAACAGCAGTTTGCAATAATGCAAAGATTATCTTCCCACTTAATTCTGCACACTCTTAGAACTGAAGCTCTGGACTTAGTATACGTGGGGAAATTGGTGGAACTAGAGAAGTCTGCTCTATTTTAGAATACCTTTGACAGTAATCAGTAGAGAACCTTTCTATATAGTAAAATATTTTAGAAAGAAATGGGTTTATTCACATGACGAGAGAGAATTCCAAGACATCTAGGCTTAACCAGGAAGATAAACAAATTCCATCTTATTAGGTCATTTATTTTTTCATTAATTATTCATTCATAAATTAATTGTATGCATCTTTTTGTGAAATTTATTACAGTACAGGTGGATCAAAGCTGTTTAGTTTTCAGCTTTCTGACCTTGGAGGCTTCTGGAATGAAGATGACATTGACAAGACACATTTCTACCAGAGCCAAAACATAGAATTGTCAAGAGAACTGGTCTCTGTGAAAGTGGCTCTGGGAAACTTCAACCCCTTGAAGATGCTGATAATTATGTGTAAGAATCAGGACACATTGTAGATATTTGAGAACTTTTAGAAGTTCTTAGAAAACAAATCTTTTTAGTGACAAATTAAAATATTGTGAAACAAACTGCTTGATTTTATACTAGCTTATATTTTTCCATGAGAGTTAAAACAATACAGAAAGAACCATATTTTATAAATTAGTAGCTCAGCTTTAGCTAAGCTTTTTGGATGGTGTTGTAAATTTGTCACACACTATACCATATGGAGAAATATTAAAGGATTACTTAGAAATGCACCTTACCTATTTGATTTCTGCCTGGAGAATAAAATGCATTGACAATAGCTGTCTTAGTTACCCACCTACAGAAAACATAAGAACTCATTAGACATGATCTTATATTGTTTGATTCAATCAGTTTACCCCAACAGAAGCTTAGATGAATTTCAACTTTCTGTTTAAAAAGTGATCAACAAATTAGAATAATTTCTATAGCCTATAACCGGCTCTGCGACCTTATTTCCTTTGCATGCATTTTTGTGAAGGCACCTGAAAGTGAAAAGCCTATTAAAATCTATCTTCTTAGAAGAAGAAGAAACAAAATGGGTAAGGTAACATTGAACTGTATTTGGTTTAATATTCATTATTTAATGGAAACAACTGTGACCACGACAGAGAATACTGAAGGACGGGTTAAAGAACACACAGATTAAAATACATTTTAAAAGGTATTTCCTAGTTTATAGAGTGCTTTTTGGGAGCTAAGACTTCTCAGCAAGGATTGAGGGAGTGTGATTATTTTCACTAAGTACAAAATTTTTTAAAAAATACAACATTCTAGCAATTTGAGCAAAGATATAATTTTGCATCATGCTTAAATGTTCTCCAGATGGTTGACTGTATGACGTAGTTGAGGCCCTGCATAGAACCTGGAGATTGTATAAAATCCAGCACTAACTTCAGAGACTAATTGATTTGTTGATACCAGGACAATAAAAGGCAACATGTATTTTTATATTAGACTGACTGATATAATGGAAAAAGAGTAACTCTGGAGTCATCATTCGGGTTCTGAAGGCTGGAGTCTATGTTCATTGTCTTTCAGCTCAACTGTTCTAAAACCCTGATGTCAACGACCATGTGTTATCACTTATATACAAAACAGCATTATTCTTAACACACTATTCTACGTATGATGAAATATCCACTAAAGAACAACACTGCTTGATTTCAGAGAACCACATAAACATCAGCACACATGCAAACACTGAAGCCAATCATATATCATTACCTAGTGGTTTTATTATAGCCGCTGCACTTTCAGAGCAACTGTTAGTGTGACGTTATTATCCCATGCACAGAAGGACTTCACGGTAATCATTGCAAGAAATTAAACCAGCAGTGTTCTAGATCCTGCTCTGCCAAGTCCGCTACTCAAACCAGCATTCTAGTTAAAATGTCTGTAACTATTGCAGGATGTCAGACATGATCATTTAACTATGCATAAAACTATTCTGGTCTTTTAAAACTAGCTGGCAGAGGGCTACATATAACAATTGGCTGATAAATTCTGATAAAGTGCATGCATTTTATAATTGGGAGTTTACATGTAAAGAATTTGTGAAATTTAAAAAAATTAATACATTTTTTGCTTGATCATGGGCTGAATAATATATTTCTTCTTTAGTTTGTTATTGCTCGCATTTTAAACAGAGAAAAAATATTTTTAAATAAGACAGGGAGACTTATTTATCTGTACGCCCAAATTTTATCCTAGCTGAGTCACCAATATTTTGATATGTTTTTTTTTTACTGGTTGAAAATTACAACAATATAATGTTATTTATTTTAATTAAGCATCTGTTACTTCCCACATAATTTTTGGTGACTCACAAGAAAAACTTGCACGTGCACATCCAATCGATAAAAGGATAAAACCGAGAGATCAGACCCCACATAGAACACGTGACTGCACCTACCAAGTATCAGAGAAAACACAAGGGTACTTTATAAAATCTGTGGAGCACATGAACTTGGAAGAGTTTATGCTGCTACAATAAAATTCTTTTTCACAGCTCTAGTCCCATGACAATTAAATTGCTAAGAAACACCTGGATGTGGGTCCCATGTAAATAAAACACTGAAACATCTAAATAAAACCATTTACCCAAGATCAAATGAAAGCAAAATAAGTTTAAAAAAAAAAAAGTAACCAGGTTTCTGTGATCCAAAAGTGCTCTAGCAGCAAGTCGGATCCAGAGGGCTGGCACTAGGATGAAAGAATTAGACACACTGGAGATCAGTCGCTGCAACAGGTTGCTGCCTCTCCAGACAGGTTGGCAGTATTAACCAACTTGTCTGTGAACCAAGAAGAGTTCAAGGAAGTTCTACAATTGAGCTCCTGGGTTGGGATTTCCAGTGTATTTCCCCACATGTGGGTCATGCTTTCCGGTACCCTAGCAGGCCAAGACAGCCCTGGTGTTGTCAGGATCCCCTCCGGGTAACCAAATTCAGGGGGGCAGAACTGTTTTCCTTCACATCATTGAATTCCTTACTGTTGGTCATACAGAAACACCATCAACAATACACATACACATTTTAAGTCCTTCTGTATCAGCAGATAACTTCGAAATATAAGAATCTTTGCACCAGCAACATTACATATGGAAACTATCATTTTCTTCATTTTAAAGCTTAAATAACAGAAGAAATTGGATGTCCAGATGTCAGTTTCCTGTCTGAAATTATGTACAAGGGCAATTTAAAAGGCCAATAGAAATATGAATTTAAGAGTTTAATATTTTGGAGGAAAAATCTTTGAACACATTCTTGAAAAATAAAAAAAAAGTTTATGCCTGGATTTCAAAAATTTTGGCAACAAACTACATTATTTGCAATTTAATTTTCCAAGAACATTTTGAAATACTCCTAACTATGCTAAGTTAGCTACTATGACTTAGGATAGAATATGGCTTCAAGTTTGCTGAATTGAGGGTCAAAATGGAAAATGAGATTATTTGATACTAAAAAGTGGATGGGGGAAAAGAATGACCCTTATATATTTTGAAAAAAGTATTTCTCAAAAAAAGGTATTTTTCATCGGCACTCAACAATTTAACAAAAAAAAATTGGCAGAACATTTTATCTGTAAATAGTTTATAATGGCTAAAATATTATTAGGTAATAAAAATTAACATATTTAAGTTTTCAGGATTAAATGTTTCAATGATACGTTCTACATTGATTCTTTATGAGTAATTAGAGGAAATACTGGCAAATAGTATGGTCCATACTACCAAAAATCTGAATGCTCAAACAGAGAAGGTGCCCTTCCAAGCTGTTCTTAAATGAAGTTTTATAAAGAAGAGGGATGAAATACAGCAAACTGACGCTTCACACAGCAGATATCAAAAGCAGGATACAGATGGATGAAGTTTATATATCACCCATCTTGTAGTTATCGTTTTCGTATAAATAAATGTCACAGCTTTTGTTTTTAGGGCTTTAGTATATTATTCTTGGAGGGGTTTAAGATTGGATTTTGATTAATGTTTGTAACTTTACAGCAGGGAGAGTTTTACATATTAAAATGTCTGCAGTGAATTATACCCACAAGAAAACAGGTAACTATTTTTGACCTCAGAAAACTCAAATAAAGTTCAAAGGTTACTGGCTACATTTACAGAGTCTCTTTCCCCTGAGATCTCTTGTGTCCTCAGACCACCTTCGGGAATTATCCAGAAGCACAGGACACAGTGTCCCTGATGTTAGAACTGAAAATGCTGTGATTACATCATTACATCGTCAATTAGGCAGTGACAATAACGACATTATCAATATTTATGATCAATTACAAAATATCTCACTTTGCTAATGCAAAGGCTAAATTAACAGGAATCAAGAAAATATCTTCCTCAGTGCACAGGAATGGATGAAAAACTGTAGTTTTTCTGCTTTCAGTGAGATCTTCACAAATTCAAACGTCTCCTTTTGTTTGGATCCTGAATGTCAACAAAGAAATTACATGCAGAGAAAGGAATGGAATGGTGGTGCTTCTCGGTCCTGCAATACCGTACACCGTGGATGAGCTGAAGAGCAACAGAGGGCCAGAGCGTAACACAGGGAAGTAACAGACCTGAGAGACGATGCCAAAGTATTCTAATCTTGGTTTCTTTGATTTCTAGGGTCTGTGTTTGCATGAGTGTGAGACACTGGGTGAACAGTAAGAAGCTAAGAAGTAAAAACTTTATTTTTTAATTTAAGAGATGCAATTTTGTCAGAAAGGCTTACTTTTCTTCAAGATATTCAGCAGTAAGACAAAGAACAGCCACTATAAGCAACATGGCACTCAGCTGAACTAACATCGTGGGTGGGAAACATAACTGAAATACACTCGGGAGAGGGACCAGGTGTTTCTTCTCTATCTCTTATTACTCTGAAGAAGTCAAGTGGTGATGAAATGAAAGCACAAAGTTATCATTTTTATAGCAGGGAAGAAAAGCAGACATTAACAGCCTGATTCTGCAGCCTCTGGGAGAAAATAAACTCACTGGATTGTAAGAGCAGTTGGAGTAAAAGATCTTTTTCACCCACTCTTGTGTAATTTTAAAACTTGAAGGAATAAATCGTTAATGCCCTTTGCCCTCCAAGTTGCTGATGTTCTCAGTGTCCAGGGTCTCACAGCAGGTCCTCTGACATCAGTGGTGCAGTAACATCGCTTTTCTGTGTCTTCCTTGAAGACTTCAAGATGGAAAAATGAAGTCTCAATCATCACAGCGACCCTTTACCCTTGCTAATATTCTCCCATCAGGGCTTCAGATTCGTCCTCTCGTTAACTGTCAAACCATTCATGCAGTAAGAAGGACTCTGACAATTTGCTGGTGTAGAAACTGAGGCACAGTGTAGTTAATAAAGTTTCCATCCCATCACACGTGGATAAGCTCATTACCATTCCTAGCAGATGTTTCTTTCTGTGGGTCTCTCAAGAAATTAAATTCTCTCTTCATCATAGCTAATATATGTATATATGTACCAACCTTCTTTTAATGTCCTTTCAGTTAAGTGGATTTTTAGGAAACTTTGTGTGAGGGTTAAAGCAGGTATTTAAAGAAAAATTTTAAACCTCCTAAGATTTCAACCTTTGGATTATTCACTTTCCCTCCCTGCTTCCTTTCCTTCTCTGAAAACAAAACTAAACAAAACTCCTTCTTGGATGCTAATTAGAAAGCAGACATGTTTTTGTTGACAAAAGTAAATTTTGCTTACAGCTCAAAAACACATTGCTAAGACTTTGTTGGATTAATGGAGTATTAAGGCTGTCCGTTCACATTGAGGCCTGGTGCAATGGCTCAATTGGTTAATCTTCCCCTTTGGTCCCAAATGGGCCCTGATTCATGTCCTGGCTGCTCTACTTCCGATTCAGTTTCCAGCTTGCAACTTGAAAGCAGTATTAAAGGGATGGCCAATACCTTTGGGATCCTACACCGATATGGGAGACCTGGAAGAAGTTCCTGGCTCCTGCTTCCTTGATTTGGATAAGCTCAGCTCCAGTTATTGTGGACTTTTGGGGAGTAAACCAGAAGATAAAAGTCCTTTGTCTCTCCTTCTTTCTTTAAATCTGCCTTTCCAATAACAATAAATAAAACTTAAAAAAAAATGTAAGATCTTCGTCTTTTATAATGTATGCAGAGAATCAACATGACAGTTACTTACCCCTTATTTCTAGCTGTGAAATTTTTTTTGTTTGTTTTATTTGGGATTCTCCCCCAAACTCCCAGCCCCGACAGATTTTCCCCATGTTGCTACAATTGTATAGTCCTTCATAAGGAACCATAATTCCATCAGTCTCTTATTTAAGTGTGCCCCAACATTGCTGGTACAGACTGTGTCAGACAGTCTGGCATCCCATTGTCTGCACATTTTAAGCAGTTTCATTGGGAGTCCATCTTTTGTTTGGAAACAGGAACGCATGTTGCATTGAACCCCCACGTCTGGATATTATTTAATGTTTCTTACTGAGTAATATTTGCTAAGTCTACCAACCATCTTAAAAAAAAAAAAAATCCCTGCCTAAATTAGGGAAATGCCATTGGGTGTCTAGCTCCAGGATTCCATGCAAATCTCCGACCCTGCTCACGCCAGAGTATAGGAATGTTCTACCTGTGTGTACCGTCACATTGACTTATATACTTCCTACATGGCTGTTTTCCTTGTGATAACCAAATTGAATGCGGCAAGACTTAATTAGAAAGACTAGTTCTAGAAGCATTAGCAAGGTAGAAAATCAGAAGGGGCATTTCAGACAGGAGTGAGTTACTTCCTGACCTCCCAAGAGGTCATTTACTATGGAGAAGCCCAGGAGGAAAACATCCTGGCTGTTGACAGATGTTCACATGGAGGCACATTGAGGTTTTGTGCTGGAAAGAACCCTAGACAGATCATTATATAATCCAGAGTATATATAGTCCAGAGGAGCCTGCTCATCTTACAAATAAAGAAACCACATGACCTTTAAATGCCACAGGTAGTAACTGGCAGAGCTGTGACACTAAAAGAGTATTAGTGACTCATCGCCAAGGCAAAGTGAGGCTGTTACATTGCAAGGTGCCAGAATCCCTGCCCTGCGTGGTGGCGCTGGCCTTCAGGAAGAGCTCTGGCTGCTGGCTGCCAGCTGCAGGAATGTCACTGCTTTGTAGGGTTTGCCATCAGCCTCTCAGCTCCAGAGGGAAGAAACATCAGGAAAAAAAAAAAAAAGCAGACTTGGAGCTGACAAAAGGAATGAGCCAATCATTTTTTTTCTCCAGTGAAAATTCTATTCTCCTTAATATTAATTTAAATGCTGACATGTTTTTTTCTCATAAGATTTAAGTGCGATTTCTTAAAGAAATCATAAGGAAACTGCTGTGCTTGTATTTTATTATTTTTTTCCCCTTGAAATAACACCAACCGGTCTTGTCTTTGATGGACTGAATCTGGTAAAGTTGATGGTTGGCTCCTGAGAGACGATACCATCCTGATCTGCTTATCCTCCACTGTCTGAGACAAAGTGTTTTACACTCAGCTCCTCTTCAGTAAATGTTATCAAATTGGCTGCTGTCAACATCAGTGTGTGTTGGTGCTGACATTGAGCATAAAAAGAGACGAAGCAATGAAATCAATCTTGGTAGGGTAGGAACAATCCCTCCAGGGGCCGCACTGCTGATGGTATCACTGTCCATAACAGAAAATTTTGTCCTAACAACAGTGAAAGAGACCTATTGTATGTTATTCTTGTACAGTTTTTTCCCCCTTCGGAGATTTGTGATTGTTTTAGGGACTCTGAATGATCATGTGACTCAATGCCGACAAAGGAGCGTTAGAAAGATGGAGGAAGGGAATGTCGTGATGTGCTTAACTTTGTACCCACATATCTGATTAAAAAGTAAAACAAAAAACTTAGCTAAGAATAAAATGATTTTAGGTCAATTTCTAGGTGATCCTGCTAACAGATATTATATTCTCAGTTAAGCACTATTTCTAACCAATACTATGACATGTTTAACACCCTTCAAATATGGAACAAAATTCCTAAAAAACAATGTCTGGGATCATTTTAAAAGTATTCACTCAACACTCACAAATCGCATGGACCAGAGTGAGGATTTTGAATACATGAAAACCCAGTGCCCAGACCCATAACTACAGGATCTGCGTGAAAACACATCTCGAGGAGTTCATGTTAAAGAAATAAGTAGAGACAAAAGGATAGCAATTTTATTACAAATAAGCAGGCATAAAATAAGTAAGAAGCTCATATTGCTTTCTTGCAGCAAAATCAGAGGAACTTTAATTTTGTTGTATCCTATATCCTAGTCCGGATAATTTGATTCAGTTACTGTCAGGGAGTTTCTAATTATCTTAGAAAAGAAAAATAAGTTTCAAACCAAATGAACTGCACGATCTTGGGGAAAAGTCCTTAGAATTAAATGTGATATGAAAGCGCAATGAACATGAAGTCAGAGGCTCTCACTTTAAGTGTGGCACGTAAAGGGAATACTGAAATCTGTGGGACCAGACACACAACAGTTACTACAAAGCCTGAGGTGACGGAGCTGGCAAATCTGTATCTAAAAAAAGAATGTTCTCCAAGTGATTCTGACAGGCAGATGAAGGTTTTGAACCTTTGTATTCAACATACAGGAAGAAGTTGAGACAAGAAGAAAAGCTAGCACCGAATGTGGAAGACCTTAGAAGTCACATTGCACTTGGTGACTATCAATAGATTATGAAAGGATCCCCAAAGTCTTCCTGAAGTCTGCATGCCACTGACCAACCCTTCATCCAAACTTAACACACAATTTTGCTTTTTGCTTGTCTACCTTACAGAAAAGGATGAAAAGAAATGGAGTCATATAAGCGTCAAGGCAAAACTAGTAAGCAATATTTCAGCAATATTTTGTCTATAAGTTATGAAGAAATCTTCTGGTCTCCTGTGAGTATTAGGATATTTAAGCCATTTCAAAAAAAATTAGCTTTACAGTGTACTGTTATGAAATAATCCATGTATAGATTGTTAAAAGAATAAAACTATTCAGACTTACATGAATCTTCTTGGGTCATCACATCAGCAGGAATTTTTTAAAATAATTTTTTGTGGGTTTGTAGAGATCGGGTTTGGATAGCTTGATTATAAAACCTACCATATGTGTCAACTCTCCTTCCTTGCTTTCTAGATGGGAGATTAAACATTCTCTGACATGTGAAGCCCCGTTTTTAATACCAAACAACATTTGCCCCACTACAAACCTAGGAGTCAGCAAGAATCTGTGTGTGGGCACCTCTGTGTTGCAAGAGTTCAAAATGCTGAGGAAAGATTGAACCAAATTGGAATTCCCATTAGTAACTTTCCAGCTTGTCCGTAGTTTACTGAGAACAACAGTCTTGCCATCAAACAATCCCATTGTACTTTGTACCTTTCTTGGGAGAGTATTTCCCCTCCTGTGGTTGTTTATGACATTATGTCTAGTCTGCCTTCTGCTGCTTTAATCAAAGCTTATCTTTGACCCACCCAGTACCACTGCCACCTGGATGTAGTGTTCCAATCTGTTAGTTAAATAAACAATAAATGAAAGAATAAGTGAGTGAGTGAGTAAGTCACATGCTGCTTTGGCATTCTATTGCACTAGTCATCACACAGATCGAGTTAGCACATTTATTTTGCTTGCCCATTCATTCCTTCTGTTTTAACTGGAACCAGTCTTATGAGCTGTGTGCTGCATCTTGACCATCAAGAGGAATGCCGTTGTTCCCCACCCCCACCGCCCGCTCATGGCCCGCTCTAGGCTAACAGTGTTGGGAGAAAAGTGAACAAAGGTAGTTCTGGAGACTTGTGCACAAACACACACTGCTGATTCACACAGAACACATATCGGTCAAAGTGAGAAGCAAGCACTAGCCAAGTAGCTAACGTGAAGTGATGACGTCATTCACCTGAGAGTAGCTGAAGACGACCTGTGAGAGTCATTTCTGGAATTTCCTATCTGATTACCACAGGTTGAGCACAAATAATTCTAACATGAATCATTCTGAGACAGGAAGGTATTGGTTGGATGCCTAACTCAGAGAAAATGTTGGACTGGTAGTACAAGAAAATTTTGAGTACAGAATAAGACCTAAGAGAAGAAGCTGTGGGTCCCTGAAGTTACAGGGCTTTGGAGTACCTTGTCTATAAACCAGTTAGAGGAAACAGGCCACAAAATGAAAGAACAGAATCAAAAGAAATAAAGGGAGTCTGAGGAAATTTTAATCATTGGAAAAAAAAACTTTTGATTTTGTTAAATTCCAAGCCTGAGCTGCTAGTATAAAATAATTCCATGCTCTTAGACACTTTCAATAGAAAGAGAATGTTATAATTTATGCTATATATAGAACATTATTGCTATATATATAAACATATGTATATATACATGTATGTATACATAAAACACACTATTGTCATGTCAAGCTCTTTCTCTTAGTCTAGCAAGAAAAGGAGGTAAAAGCCCCCGTTGGAACAAGCATATTAGGGACTGGAATATACATACTCATCCTTGTCCACCTTTTCTCGGAGCTTCTTTAGTTGTTTGCTCTGGCCAACTTTCAAATTTTGAATTCGATTCTCAAAGTATTCATCTTCTTGGTAGTTCAACTGCATTGCACAAAAGAATTGGTGAAAAATATTAAATCCAATATTTTCACAGTTCTTTGTTAAAGAGCATGTGCCCACTTAATTATTTAATTTTCTTAAAGCCTATCAGTGCATAAAGTTAACCAAAGGCATTGAAGCACTAGTGGAACGAAACATTGAATGAGTATCACTGTGGAAATCTTCAGTCAGGCATAACTGAGGAGGATAACAGTCCATCCTTATTCGATGAGTGCCAAGCATTGATCTAAGTAAATGCACAGTATTCATTCAATCCTTCTAATAATCCCATTAACCAAATGCTGCTATCCCCAATTTTAATTTGGGGCATAGACAGTGACGTCATTTATCCAAGCTTGAATGGGTTGTGGAATTGGCATAGGAATATCAAGAGTCTAGGTTTTGAGTCTGTTCTTTGAATCTTTTCACTTCCGGAATGAGTCCCTAGGACTTGCAAGCTGAGGCCAACTCAGGCCAAAGAGAAAGTTAAATTTTTCTGTAAATGGAAAGAGAGGAGAGGCCATAAGGGTCTACAAATCCCAATGATAGGACAGTAATTAGCAGATCAGGAATCCTCGTCATTCTTGGATCGTCTTGTTGCCAGCAGGTGCACAGGCACTGAGATGGGCACAGGTGAGCAGCGGAACCATCCGCTGAGCCTGAACTCAGCACTGTAGGAACTCTAGCCAGCCCTCCTCTCCTTGTTAACCTTCCAGGGCAAAAGAAAGTGAACTTCTGGTTCCCAAACGCTACATTTTTTTGTTTTTTGTTTTGTTTTGTTTTTTAATAGAGGTGGCAAGGCCCAGTTTACGTAGCAGAAGAAAAATGAAAAATGGAAGGAAAGATTCCTTTGACTTTTTCACCTGTGTAAGTTGAGACCAGGAGTTTGGGGCCTGCCTGGTGCCCATTATCTTCCTGTCCACCCCCATGCTCTCTAAACAACTCTGGCTACTTCAATTAAAATGGAATAACAGAAGCCAAGTATAACTCAGGTTAATGAAACAAAGGCTAAAACATAGTTCTGGGTTCAGTGCTGAGGATTTTGTCCTTTGACCTATTGTTTTAGGCTACTTCATATGCTCTCCAGAATACCATGGCTGCATAGAATGGTGCAAGCCCCAGATGTCATTAGCCAACAATCTTTGGAACAGAAGCTTACCTCCAAGTATTCATTATTCAGTTTGTTATCATTGGAAATAATGTCATCAGGATAGCCAATTCTTTCCTTAATTGCCAAGGCCTAGGAAAATTATAATGCTGAATGTGAGAAATATTATGTAACTTTCAAATACAACCATCACTACTCAGTGTATCCACTAGTACTAATTGAAAACTTTGAGCTACACTATATGTCAAAATAATATTTAGCAATAACAGATCTTTGGCACAGCTCCTTCTTGGGATTACAACACACCCAAAAAAGGAAAATACAATTATAAGACAGGTTTGAACATCTGGAATTTAGTTTTTAATTGTCTTGTTCTTTCGGAGAAAAGCTTTCCCATGAAAACTGACAGTCATCATATCACAGGTATCAGACTTTTATGAAATTTTCCTGTGAGAGAAATTTTTGGGATCTTTTCAGACAAATATTCAGAGTTTCTGTTATAACAGGTTATAATTATCTTTCCAGACTATTCTCTTAGCTGATAACACAGATATGGGAGTAAAGAGTTAGTCCTAATACTCATTCTACTTGCTATTTCTCTTTTTTGTTTGCTCAGCGACATTTGACTTTAGATTTTGTCATTTCATGCTGTTCTTAAACAATCTAATTAATCTGAAATTGTTCATGAAATGAAACTTGCATCTCTGAGTTAGTAGGATTGACACTGAATGGATGTGGGTTTGTTCCAAGTCTATTGAATTAGTCTAAGATTTCCTCATGAAATTAGACTGCATATGTGTTACAAATGTCACTTAGACCAAGCCCATTTTCTCTACTAACTCATGACAAATCAGTCTCCATTCAATGACACTTTTATTTCCTGAACATGTTTGCCCCAAAACCTCTCACATTCTTTGCAGGGACACGATTTTACATAAATAAAATGATAAAATAAACATCTTTATCTGCAAAATTTGGGTGCAATACGTCTTGAAGGAGCTTGCATTTTTAAACATAATTCTCCATTATACTTTCCTTAAACATCTTTAAAATTAATATTTTGCTAAAAATGTGTATTTTTTAAAAAATTATCTTGCATCTTTCTTACCTTTTCTTCAGCTTTCTTCTTCGTTTCAGCATCCATCCAGGTGAGGTCATCTAATGTCTGAATGAAAACATCCCGGATTTGTGCAATCAAATCTTCAACCTCAAACAGGAAGAACGGAAGGCAGATCTAAGTAATGAATCCATTGTTTCTAACAGAATTTGTAAAAGAAGGAGCTATTTCTTCATTTATGCATAACATATTAACATTTGTAAATTCATAGCCAAACTATGAGCAAAACAAATGGGTCCAGGAATCATTATACCAATATTTCTGATTTCAAAGTTTATATAATACACACAATAAATTTAGAGTTCTTCAGAATGTAATTCTTTCCAACATCATACAAGTGCTAACTTGAAATATTAGATGCCTTCCCCATTAGCAGGTTAATTAAGCATAATACAGCATTTCAATAGATTCTTTCACCATATTGCCTGAGTTCCATTGTCATCATTTCATCGAAAATGAAAAGTGGAGAGCATTTCTTGCACTTCAAATCAACCCTATTTACTCCTAGATTTTTAAGAAAATGCAAATTCTTGATTGAGTTTGAGAACAGGACAGTTTCTACATGACTCTATAATGGAGCAGTCTGAATACAGTGCTCCTGGAAAAGGCACCCTTGATTTTAGACTAAACAAAATTAGAAGCAAAAAAAAAAAAAAAATAGATGCTCAGAGGAGGCAGAGTGAGATTTATTGGAAAACAAAGACATAGTATGATTCAGAGATTGTAACTACATTATAGACAATTATAATTGCCCATCAATGCAAATTGAAAATGTACTGCAAATCTGATAAGGTTTTATGCTGAAGTCATTACCACATGTTTACTGTCTCCAGCAAATGCTGCTTCCACATAAAGCCTTCCCACAGCATTTTGCATATTCCCATTGACATAGTTCACACAATTTCTCCAAGTTGCAGATTCTGATGTAGTGCCATCAAGGGCCTATGAAACAGAAAAGGGAAATGGCATTTGAAAAAAGTAGAGGGTAGGAAAATGACAAGAGCACCAATTTCACATGACTATTCTTTATGTCCCCATTAAGTTTTTGCAATACTCATGTCTGTTCACAATGCAGGTATCCCTGACCCGTTTGTAAAATACAATCCTATTGGATTATTTGCTTAAATGATATGAAAATAAGCCATATTTTCAGAGGCATACACTTGTAGAACCTTCATTTATTACAAGTTAATATCCTTCTAGAATGCTTTGGAAAAGAAAAACACAACACTGTACTGCATGATCGTAAATGTGAAGCAATGTTCAATAAATGTAACAGGGGAGTAATCTGGCATACAAGAAAACACATTCCTGCTTTTAATGTGTTAGGTGAACTTCAGGCCTTTTAGAAGAGCTATGTGCCTGCAGATTTATTATCCACAACCCAAGTAAGGGAAATTAGCATAAAACAATTCTTTCATTCCTGGATTTTAAAAGATGTCTGCATTTTCACTGTTAAAGTAAAAATTGGAGATTTCAACCAATCAAGGGTAATTTTCTGCTAGAATCTCTTCTTTCTCGAGCCTTCTGCCTATTCCCTTCACAAGAGAACTAAAACAATCATTATATGATGTAGTGATGTAGTCAGATTACAAAGTTCTCTCCAGGATTATATATACTCTTGCTGTCCACATCAATGTAGCCCATCAGTGTGTATGTCCAGTGTGCTACGAGCACCTGAAAACCAAGTTCATTGACACAGATACCCTTGAATTCACTTTTAACACAATAACAAAAAAAAATCAAGGCTATATTCTTTCATGAACCACTAATAAGAGATAGCATTTTAGAGAGCCAAGCAATCCTGTTGCCACTGTAGACCACCAATGACTGACAAAGCCCACGAAGACTGATGTCTCTCTTGGGTAATAGCTCCTGTCTAGGTGCACAGGAAGCAGCATTTGGCATTTTGCCTATTGGCAAAGATCACCACTTTCTAGCAGTGTACAGGGAAAGCCTTCATAACCATGTATCTCTTTATGATTTAAGTCTTAAGAAAAGAGATTTTTTCTTCACCTTGCGGAAAGCATTTCCGGACTCCTTGTAGGTTCGGCTGAGGCTGCTTACAATATCCATTATGAATCGCCAGGACATTAAATTTTGAAGATCTCTGTATAAAAAAAACCACCACCCAGCAACAGAAAAGATGAGGCTGTAAAGCTTCTAAAGTGCAAAATGAATTGTAAACTTTGAGGACATGGGCAGTCTGACAGACCTACCTGGGAGAATATTTGGTAAGAATGGGCTTAAGTTTGGTTAAATATTCTGGCGCATTAACAATCACATCTTCCTCGTTTGGAATATTAATATTCACAGTTGACATAATTTCATTTGTGAAATTTGACCAGCTGAATGGCTGGAAAAAAGCAGGCATATAATATTCAGTAATTATGGATCTCTCTTCTAGGTTTCAAAATTCAGTTATGTTTAGAGGTCAGATACTAAGGGGAGTTTACTAAATAAGTACGTAAATGCCATAATGACCAGCCCTGTTGTAGTTAAGGATTTCCACTCAACTGTTGCAATAAGTATTTAGCTAAAATTTAGTTCTGCAACATGGTTAATTAGGTAGCAGAATTAAAGCAACTATTTGAGAGCAAAAGCAAAACTTTCAAACTTAGAGTATACACAATAAGAAATTAGTTTCTGTCATCATTTTGGTACAACTAACATTAAAAAAGAGAGAGAGAGAAACTTAGTTTTAAAAATACAGGATCTTGGGTAGCTGCTGGATACAGTGCCTAAGGTACTTTTAGGGTTGCCCACACGTCACATCAGAGTGCCTGGGTTTGAGGCTTGTTCTTGCATCCAATTCCAGCATCATGCTGATGAACACTCTTGGCAGCAGAGGTGGCATAAGGAAGGGGGTTAGTGCCACCTGCACAGGAGATCAAGATCATGGCTGCTGACTTGAAATTGGTCACTCAAATGTAGGCGTTTGGAGGCTAAATCAGTGGATGGGGGGAGAGCTATATCTTTTTGCTTATTAACTAAACACAATAAATAATAAAATAGTGAAACTGAAAATTTCTTGTGTCAAAATGCAAATATTAATATTTTAAAAGGAGGTATTAAGCAGTAAGTAATAGAAACAATAATACATGCCTGTGAACCATGTATTCTATGTGAAAATTTACATCCCAGGGACAGTGATGCTATGAAGCCAACAAATACATTTTAAATGATGAATGTCGGATATACAAAGCAACATTTTAAAAAAAGTTTAGTTGAAAGGCAGAGGGACAGAGATACAGACAGAGATCTTCCATCCATCCATCCATTTTCCCTATGCCTGCAACAGTAACACTGGATTAAGCTGAACCCTGGCTGCTGGAACTCATCCCAGGTCTCTGACATAGGTATTGGGGCAGCCAGCCACTTGAACCACCTCCCAGGGTCCAATCAGTAAGAAGCTGAAATTACAAGTGAAGCTGCAACATGAACTTCATCACTCGGATGTGGGATGCAAGTGCTGCAAGTGGCATCTAAACTGCTATGTCAAAAGCCTGACCCTGGCATGCAGTGTTCATACCTCAGGAACTGCATGGGAAGTTGCCAAAAGATGGAATACCGTGTGTCACTGTTTAAGTAGAAACTGAAACTGTTTAAGAGAATCAGTATCAGAGTCTAATATGTGTATCTAAACACTAAGCACTCGTTACTAAGTGTGAAGCTGACAGACTCATCTTGATTCTTCATGGTGGTTTGGCTAATTTTTCCCAAAACATGTCAATAAAACATCAAATATATTAAAATGTTCTATGTATGGAATAACTGGAATTAATGGTAAAGAGAATTTTATTACTGATTGTGGTATTTGGCGGAGTTACCTATGGATATTGCTTGATTTCTCACCCATGTATATGAAAGCAAATGCATAAGCCCCATGACGCTTATTAGAAGCTATTAAAGAGGGAAAAAAAAAAAGTAAATTGCTTTTAAAAACGGATACTGGGCCACAGATTTTCCTTCTTCTCTGTGGTATGTCTCTATTATTGTTCTGAATACCTCTGCATCTGGCGTTGATGAGAAACTAAAAATTTTATGAGAAAATCAGTGTTTTTAGAAGTTTTAATATTTTTATGCATGCTTCTCCATGATAGTCCCTAATGTTATTTCATAGCTGCCTTGAAAATTATTGGATGTTAAAAATATAATCTGAACTTTATGCACACACACAAACATGCACACACAGATAAATTATACCCGTGGTAAGATTTCAAGTGCTGCTTTATAGATGTTGTCACTGAAACGGTTAGTATCTAATTCATTTTGGAGCTTACTTATTTCAATAAGTAAATTCAAAAATATGAAAGAAAAAAGTATTTCAACATTTCATTTGTAGAAATTGGCACATGAGCACACATACCTTCCCGTCGATCTCTAATGTAAAGTTGTTTTGGATTTCGGCCAATGTCATTTTGTTATAGCGAAGCATAGGGTCATGTCTATCTTCAGATTTAGTTGTAGCCTATGGATTTAATTTTTTATTAGTATTTTAGAACTAAGACTTCGTCAGAAAATGATAGCTACAGCATAGGGAAAAGGTGGCATAGGACCAATAAAACACAATTAAATGTGAGTGCTACTCATTACTTTGCAATTCATTATTTGTTTTAATTTAATTTTTAAATATTTTTGTGGTTCTTGATATGGTTCCATACGCATAGAGAACCCCCTCTCAAACCCTCCACCCCATTACGATAGTGTGGTTCTTATAGTCCTTAATAATCACGAGTTCAACATTTTGCTATTTAACTGTGTCATGGCATTATAGTTATAGAAAATAGCAGGAAGTGTAGCATTCTATTGTCAAGACATGTTTAAGTTTCATTGAGAGTCCTCTTTTTATTCTGGAGTAGAGATGCACACTGCGACATATCTTCAGTTTCGGTGTGCTGGTGTCCATCCTTCGGGCCATCGATGAGACTATATGGACACACACGTTTATCTACATATCTATTTAACTTGCATAAAGGTTGTCTTATAGACAGAACATATGATATTTGTCCTTTTGGTATTGCTTATTTCATTGAGCATAATGGCCTCTAGTTGGTGATATCTGAAGCAAAAAAAAAAATCTAAGAGATTTTTAGTAAATTCATTAGTAACTACTGAGGTTTGGTTGGGACTCAAGTCTGAAATTCTTAAGAAAAAAATCTCTGTATTTTAATCACCGCTGACACACATAAGCAGTCATTTTGGCTATGGTTAGTGACCAGCTCAGATATGCCTGTAGCTGCTTCATATTTTAATCACCTTATATAATATTCTTCATCTGATCCCTCATCGTCACTCATCATGTCTCCCACCCTCACCACTACTACTCACTGTCCTAGTTAAAAGCAGTCAAAAACTAAATAAATAAAAGTGCAACCATTTCTACAAACATTCATGACAAGCCATGCAAAACATTCCTCGTGCAAAACAGAGTTGAGCTGCAAGTTATCCAGGAAGAATAAAACATTATCGGCTTTTGTGACTGTCCTGGTTGCCTAACCAGCCTCTTCACGCTTTGTACTCAACACCAACTATTTTTATTTTTTCTTTACCAAATCTAAAAAAGGAAATAAAATTGAAATAGCAACTCTTCTACTAGTGATTTGAATGAGTAAAAGCAACTTTAAGTGAGAAGAGACAAAAGGCACATCTTTAAAATAAAGATGATTTCTCAGTAGCAGTGTTGTCAAGTTTCCCTTGAGGACATTTGTTTATTAATTCACTGAAAAATGATTTACTGAATGTCTTTAGAAATGGTTCCATACTTGATGCCGTCAAGACAGATACAGTTGATGCCAAGATGACTAAGAATCTATGACAACCTCAGGGTCAATTGACACGAGTGAAAATATTATTATTGCCACTGTTATTTCTGAGGGCTGAGACTTGTCAAAGGGAGACATGACATGGAAAGCCAGAGTGACAGACACTAACGGCAAGAAGCTGGTATCCTGCAACAATTCTGCTTCCAACAAAGAATCTATCAAACTGTCACTCATCGAGTGGCAGCTCCAAGGACAGTCTGGTTCTGATTGGAGAGTTGGGGCTTAGGAAAGCTGTAATTGCCCATTAAGAGGTTCATGCTTCGAGATTCTCACATGTCCAAAAGCAGTGGTGAGTGGACATCCAGCTAAGGCGCAGGTTGTGGATTGCAGTGTCAAAAAGAACTCTGTGGATCTTAGACTAAATCTGACCATGGGTTCAATTAGTAACACAAATGCTGTCTGGACTAAGAGTTCACTAGATTGGGCCCCGATCTAGAGAGGGCCCCATCAGAGAGAGGCCAATTAGCGAAAAAGGTGCCAGCTCAGTACCCAAGAGTTCAACTAGAGCAACAGAAAATTCAGGGTCAGATTTTGTTGTTAAGTTTCCCTGTTTGATCTCTCTTGGTTCTGCAGCCTGACAGTTTCAAACCAGTGATATCACATTGCCATGTGACACAGAAGCTAATGCTGATTAGCGAAGGAGTGGATGTAGTCTCTAGGACTATAAGTAACAAAATAAAATACAGAAAATTGAGTATGTCAAAACTAAAGCCTCTTTGCAAATACTTTGAGTCTCAAGGGCATCCTGGTAAGATTTTGATGCAATCAATTTATTTTTGATAAGTGATTGACTATATTAGTTTAACATTCTTCAGGCTCAGCGTACCTCTTGGCTTTCAGAAACCCACTCTGTAATATTCTCCATTTCAAAGGCCCTCTTGAGCTCCATGATTCATGACTGAGCTATGCATTTTTATCACCTGGTGAAGCAGTTGTACTTTTTACTCTTAAAATATGATAGCGAAGGGGAAGGATGAAAAAACTGCTAGAGTTATTCAGTACATCACAAAAAAGTATCTTACATTCGCTATTTCTTTTTCCAATTCCATGACTTTATTCATTTCCAAAGAAATCTGGTTTTCATCAACAGGCAATCCTTCTTCCTGACGAATCAATTTTGCCACAGCAATCATAAAATCCACATACGTTGTACAAGCCTGCAAATAAATAACAGTAAGCTGTTGTGAAACCTTCTAAATATTCATTATGGTACTTTAATTTTAGATTTATTTTCCGTTGAGTATTAATTGTCAGTAACAGATAAAAGAGAAGCATTATCAGAATCCTTTCCTATAAACTAGAAGAAATGACTGCACAGATTCTAGGCTCAATGTTTCTTTGATTCAGAGATTAAAGTAAAGCATCAAAGTCTTACTTGAAATATAATTAGTAATTTATAAACACTTGGTTTTGGAGATTTTGACGTTTTCAATTTTCTATCAAGTTATTTTGTCCTAATAAGAATATAATTGTAAAACATTTGGTAAGCAATACCATAAAATTCTTTTTTCTTTAAGTAGTAATACATTTCTTAATAAAAATCCATTTTTCTGGTGTTTTATATATATATAAAACATATATTCATATATATATTCATGATATATTCATATATATCGTAACTATCTTTTTAATTTTTCAAGAAAAGATGGCCACAGACACAAAAACGATTAAGTTATCTTATAGCTGCCTTTCCCAATCAAGCAATATTTTTATTATGAAACTGAATTTGCAGGGGCTGTATACCACATTGCTGGGCATATCAATAAAGAAATACACTAGCATATGTTTTTGTGATATTTCACTATAAGACACCACAGATCTAGATTTTAGCTCTCTTATGATAACTCCGAATCTCTGTGTTTCATCTTCGCACGTTCCAATTTGCAAAACTCTCACCAAATTATCCCTTAATGCAGAACATGCCGCTGTGAAATAGCCTAGTTAGCATGCAAGGTACGAAGTGTGTGGTAATGCACTTAAGGTCTTCATGGCTACTAGAGTGTCTTCTGTCCCTACTAACTGATTATAAGTGAAACAGACACCCTTATATTCCTGTGAGGGCCAAATCACATCTGCATTTATAAGAGCACATTGTCAAACCTAAAAGAAACAGAGAAATGAGAAAAAAATCAGCCAATGAAAACCTAAGCATAATGTAAAATTATCAATGAAAAAGTCCAAAGTTTGCACATTGGTGCTCTGTGATCTTTATTCGATGTGAACAGTTCCCAGAAAGAGAAGCTTTACTTGCTTATTTGTTCATTTATTTATTTATCATAGATATCTTGTGAATCTGGAACTATGTGGAATCTTTAGCTATGGCCATGGATCTGCTACTTAATAGAGCAAACTATTTTTCAGCTGTGAAACTTCATTAAAAAATAATTGGCAAGATCACAGAACTGAAAATATGACTTACAAAATTCTTTTTTTTTTTCTTATTAAAAGGCATCAGGATTCTTAGCTCACTTTGAAGTTAACAAATATATTTGAGTTCAGCCCTCGAGAGACTGACTATTCCAAAGCCCATGGCTTCAGTGTTAGGAATTAACTGCATCTCAAAGTAATAAATTCATCTGCCTTCAGCAGGGGATTACTGTTGAGTGTGAAAGCAATGGAAATCTGTTGAGGTTTTTCTTTAGGACGCAGGACTTTTTGTTGTTGCTGTTGTTAATGAGGTGAAAAAATAATTAGAAAAATCCTCTTGTGCACTTTGTTGACTTTGCAAACTGGTTCTCCTTCAGAATCTTTAGCCTTCTACATTTATTTGAGTATCATGGATTTTTGGTATAAGGGAAAGAACTTTGGACCATGCTTCCACATTGCTCAACTAGTATAGTTCTTTAGGAAACCAGCAGCATATGGGATCACTGGCTTCTAAGATGGGAATATTTAACATAGCTCCAAGGAATACCCCACTCCCTTCAGTGAGCTTCATCACCTGGGAGCTACTCCATTTTACAGACTAAAATCTGTGTCCTAGTATGTTCCCTATTTTCTCTGGCTCTCAACTTTGTGTGACATTTAGAATATTTAGTAAGCTAACTACTGCTGTCAAATCCCTTTTCCATGATAAAATTCTACCTGAAGGTTTTAATTTCTCTTGTGTTATTTCTAAATATGTAAATACTAAATGATTAAAGTTGCCATGATTTGGAGAGAAAGTAATGAACAAAATAGTACCTTGACCAGGATTGAATTTGAATTGAAATTTAATGTTTCTTTATAGGACTGAAAGAACAATTAGCCATTAGGACACAGACCAGAATCAGCTGACATTTTTGACAACTATAAATCAGCTTCTCTAAAGCCTTCCAATAATAATAATTGATTTTTATACTGTTGAATAAAATGCATAGAACAAATTTTTTTTGAGCTTCAAAATAGCATAGTATTTTTTGAGTTAACATTTGGTAATATCAACATCATGGATTCTGACTCTGATTAGACCTTTCTTCAATTTTCAGGATGATACAATGATATCTACAAATTGACTCTTCAGAAACAGAAAAAAGTTGGTGTTTGCTGGATTTGGCAAGAAGAAAGCGGTAACACCATTTGACTACAGTTCGTCAAACTTGAGTGTTGTTGCCAGTTAATGAAAACAAGACTCGAGGAGGGACAGGCTCAGCTTCCTCTTCAGACTGACACCTGTCTGGGTAGGTCCCTGACCCATCCACAGACGCAAGGTTTTACTCGTTTATCTGCTCATTTCTTTACTGTTCATCTCATCCTATGACAACGAGAGTTCCAAGAGAACAAGAGCATCTTTGGAATTTCTACAGCTTAGAAAAGAATACATAACATACAGACTAACTGAACATCAGATGTATGAAAAAAAAAAAACTAGGGTTAAATTTGAAAGGATGTCATTCCAATCACTCTAATTTCCATAGAACTTCTATTCTCAGCTCAAGTCCTGCGCAATTTCTCTCAATCTGTATTTTGGAGACATGAGAAAAGTTCTCCCTATGTTTAATCTCACACTCCACATACACCTAAACTAAAGGACTGTAAAATCCCAACATATTCTTTCCCAGGTGGGTATAACCTGGAAGATTTTTCAGTTTGAATATTCTGTAATCTATATACATAGATCCTTTTCCCCCCCTGCTTTCAGTGCAACGTGTCCCTGTTCACAACCCAAACCCTTTGTCACCACCCCTGAATTTTTTATGATGTCCCAGATTTTTTTAAAGGATTGATTTTATTAGAAAGTCAGATATACAGAGAGGATGAGAGACAGAGAGGAAGATCTTCCCTCTGCTGATTCACTCCCCAAGCAGCCTCAGTGGGCAGAGCTGTAGCCAGGAGCCTCTTCCAGGTCTTCCTTGCGTGTGCAGGGTCCCAAAGCTTTGGGCCTTCCTAGTCTGCTTTCCCAGACCATTAGTGGGGAGCTGGATGGGAGTTCTAGCCGCTGGGTACCACTCTGGGGCCTATGTCTGAGATTTTTTGTAAGCACCCTCATTGTCTTCACAACCCTGGCTGTCTTCCTTTCTACTCTGGAGTTCCCAATCTGCAACTCTTACCTCACCTTATCAGGCTCTCAGCGTCCCGTCCCAGGATTTTTCTGCATTTCCATGTAAGCCCTCAAATGCCTTGTTCAAGTAATCACTTCATTGATATCTGAACAAATAAGTGAAACAAGCCTTTCACGGAGGGTGTATACACCTGTGGGTGTGATGGCCCAGAGCCCTGTCACTGCACACACAAAACATATCTAGATTTGGAAACCTCATAGCTCAAACCTACTCTACATTCTCATACAGATACCAGTATAGAGCACAACTATATCTACAGGCCAATTTTGCCAATATATCTTTAATTCATAACTGTAGATTTCCTTATGAAGGAGAACTGGCAAGGAGGAGGGGAGTGTTTAAATGAATAGCTTTGTTAAACAGAGGGAGATAAAGGGAAGCTTTGAGATCATTCCTTCATATAGATTTCAGAGACCCTTCTAAAGGTCGCCAATATCTGAAGACAATTAAGATCATCACACTTATGCAAGAATTAGTGAAGACGTTTCTTAGATGAGGCCGTTGGCTGGCTCCTAATTAAAAAACGTGAATGCGAGGTCAGCATGGTGGTGACTCTGACTAACCCTTTGCCCCGGTGCTGGCATCCCACATGTGTTCTCGTTTGTGTCCAGCTGTGTCACTTCTGATTCAGCTCCCTGCTAACAGCCTGGAAAAGTAGCAGAAGATGGCCCAAGTCCTTGTACCCCTGCACCCTTGTGGGAGACCCAGAAGAGGCTCCCGGCTCCCAATTTCAGACCTGGCCAGGTCTGGTTGGGACAGCCATTTGGGGTGTCAACCTGAAGATGGAAGATCTGTTTCCTCTGTGCCTCTCTGAAATTATTTCAAGTAAAACAAATAAATGATTATTACAAAAATCTGAATGGGCCCGGCACGATAGCCTAGTGGCTAAAGTCCTCGCATTGAACGCACCAGGATCTCAGATGGGTGTCAGTTCTAATCCCGGCAGCCCTACTTCCCATCCAGTTCCCTGCTTGTGGCCTGGGAAAGCAGTTGAGAACAACCCAAAGCCTTGGGAACCTGCACCTATGTGGAAGACCTGGAAGAGGTTCCTGGCTCCTGGTTTCAAATTGCCTCAGCTCCAGCCATTGTGGCCACTTGGGGAGTGAACTGTCAGATGGAAGATCTTCCTCTCTGTCTCTCCTCTCTGTATATTTGCCTTTCCAATAAAAATGAATAAATCTTTAAAAAATCTGAATGGGAGTTCTTGAGAAATAAATGCCTGCTGTTGCAAGGGATACAATTGTGTCAAAATCCACTTCTGTCTTGGGAGTTTTGTTTAGTTCCTTTCTTCAGATCATGAGAATGCTGGTTCTCTCATTAGCTAGACAGACCTGGCACGGGAGTCCTTGGTGAACTGCTTTTGATCAAACTGTTCTCCTTATTGAGAAAATGAGACTGTTTTGGATAGCCTGTTTCATAGGTTAATTACTGGCAATTTCTCTATAGATCATTCATTGGGATTCTATATAGACTCTGATTCCTAAACAGAAAAGGCAGAGAATATTTGCGATGCTCTTGTATTTGGGTTTACCGCTCGTGTACTCCCATGGGTGTCAGGATACTGAGATAAACAAATATGGATAAAAACATGTTCCAGGATGAATTCATTAGAACAC